TCCAGGCTTTAATGAATCTCCTATTTGGTCTTCTCAAGTTTGTAGTGGTATTCTTTGATGATATTCTAGTGTTCAGTTTTTCCATGGAAGAACATTTGAAGCATCTCAAGCAAGTATTTGATATATTGCAAGCAAATAAGTTATATGCCAAGTTAGAAAAATGTTCTTTTGGTCAGAAGGAGATTGAGTATTTGGGCCATGTCATTAACTCTGAAGGAGTTTCTACTGACCCTACAAAGATTGTGGCTATCAAGTCATGGCCTGCTCCAACTACTGTCACTGAATTGAGGAGTTTTCTGGGTTTAAGTGGATATTACAGAAGGTTTATCCAGGGATATGGGATAATCTGCAGGCCTCTCTTTGACTGCTTGAAGAAGGATCCTTTTGCTTGGGCAAAGGAGCAACAACAAGCATTTGAAGCACTGAAACAGAAACTCACTCATGCACCTGTCCTGGCCCTGCCAGATTTCAAAAAGCCATTTATATTGGAAGCTGATGCTTGTGGATATGGCTTGGGGCTGTACTAATGCAAGAGGGCAGGCCACTTGCTTATTTCAGTAAGAGTATTGGCCCTAAAGCTGCTGCACTAAGTACTTATGACAAAGAAGCTATGGCTATTATTGAAGCTGTGAAGAAATGGAAACATTATTTCTCTACTACTTCTCTAATAATCAGAACAGATCAGGAGAGCTTGAAGTACATCCAAGAGCAGAAAATTACTGAGGGTATCCAACACAAGCTGCTATTAAAGTTACTTGGATATAATTTTACTATAAAGTACAAGAAGGGCAAGGAGAACAGGGCTGTTGATGCACTATCTAGAGTAAAACATGCAGTTTCTGCAATATTTACTACTACTGCCTTGCCTACTTGGGTTAAGGAAGTAGTGAGCAGTTATCAGCAGGATGGCAAAATCAAGGAACTAATTGTTGAGTGTTCTGTGGATAAAAGCACTGGTAATGCTTATTCCTTTAAGAATGGTATATTGAGGTTTCACAATAAGGTGGTAGTGGGAAAAAGCACTAACCCGAGGCAGGAAATACTAGCTACATTTCACAACTCTGAGCTGGGTGGACACTCTGGTGAACGAGCTACTTATCAGAGAATAAAACTAGTATTTCATTGGCAAGGAATGAAGCAAGATGTAATCACATTTGTGAAAAATTGCCCTGTCTGCCAGTTGAACAAATCTGAACATACACCTTACCCTGGGCTGTTAGAGCCACTCCCTATTCCTGATTTTGCATGGGCACATATTAGTATGGATTTTGTAGAGGGTTTGCCCATTTCAAAGAACAAAAACTTGATTCTAGTGGTGGTTGACAGGTTCATTAAATACTCTCATTTCATTGCTATGAAGCATCCCATCACAGTCCAGTCTGTAGCAAGAGCCTTCTCTGAAAATGTGTTTAAACTTCATGGCATGCCACTAGTTATTGTGACTGACAGAGATAGAATCTTCACTAGTAATCTCTGGCAAAAGCTTTTCAAGTCACTGAACATTAAATTGCACCTGAGCACTAGTTATCATCCACAAACAGATGGGCAAACAGAGAGAGTGAATCAGTGCTTGGAGAATTATTTAAGATGTATGTGCTTCCAAAAACCAAGGAAATGACATGGATGGCTGGCCTTAGCTGAGTGGTGGTATAACACCTTTTTCCATACATCTCTGAAAATGACACCTTTCCAAGCTCTTTATGGTTTTGCTCCTCCTATGGTGGCTGAATCAGCTCTGCCTGACACTATTTGTGTGGACAATGAGGATCTGTTGCAGAACAGAGAGCTAGCAGTGGAAGTGATCAAGCAAAATCTCTTGAAAGCACAAGCAAGAATGAAATTCTTTGTTGACAGGAACAGAAAAGAAAGAGAGTTGATGGTGGGAGAAATGGTGTATCTTAAGCTGCAACCTCACATACATACTTCTCTCAGTCTGCACAGGCACATTAAGCTACACTCCAAGTTTTATGGGCCATTCAAAATTCTGAGTAAAATTGGAAATCATGCATACAAGTTGCTCTTGCCTGAAGATTGCCAGTTGCATGACACATTCCATGTCAGTCAGCTTAAAAAGCATATTGGACCCAAGGTGGTGCCTTCTTCCAAACTTCCCCTGGTTGGTCCTGATGGGACAATCAGAATTGAACCTGAAACTATTCTGGAGAGGAAGCTAATTCCAAGGAAGCAAGGCAATATAAGCATTCCAGTAGTCAGATGGTTGGTGAAATGGGCAAATCTGCCACCAGAGGAAGCAACTTGGGAGGATTCAGCCTTTATCCAGAAAGCTTTTCCTGCATTCAGAGCTTGAGGACAAGCTCCAGCTTAATCGGGGGGTATTGTCAGGCTCAGTTCTTAAGTTCCCCTGTTCCTGCGTGTCAGTTGCATTGACAGCCGTCCATCTCAGATCCTACGGTCTCAGGGCCAAGCTAACGGTTCACTTAAGTGGGTTTATCTTCGATCAACCATCCAACGGCTTAGAAGACGCGGGAGAAGCTGTTCACCGTCCGACAAGTCATGTGCTTGCACTTTTCTGCTTTTCTGCTTTACAGCTACTGTAATGGCTATATAAGCCAGCTTTCCCTTTCATTCGAGGCATGTAATAGAATTATTGGGTGTAAACCCTAGCCGCCGGTGGCGTGCTACTACTTTCCCTTCCTCTTGCAATGAAAACCCTAGCTAAATTCGCCCAAATTCTTGTCTGAAACCTACTAGTTCGTGCTTAAATTCAGCACAGAGGGACTCTGGTCCTGACAAGATTACCCTACACACAACCGTCCAACCTTAATTCAGGGATGGAGAGATTAAATAGAAGAGAGAGATTAGAGACCGGACCCAACTGTTAAAATTGGGGGAGAAAAATTAGGGATAAACTGCACGCATGAAAAAAAAAGGAATAAACTTTGTTGTCAAGAAATAAATGCGTATACACACGAATCAATTGGGGGCAGGCAGGGTAATAGCAGATCGGTTTTTTATTATTTTTAGGAATAATGGAGAATAAGCATAGGAGTCCTCCTGTCGCACATGGCTGTTACAGGTATGCCGTTGTTTTTTCGACGATATACTGGTTTAAGCTAGGTCATTCTACGGATGTAGATAGATCATGGTTGCTGGTGAGTTTTTTTAAGGGATACAATGCTAGTCATCCTACGGATGTGGATATATGTCATGGTTTAATGTGATGAAAAACCTAACGAAAGATCTACATCATAATAATTTGATCCCATCAGATTAACGGTCCGTAAATTCTAATTAACGTGAGAATTTCTTTGGAGTCTGTAATTAGTGTGTGTGTGTGTGTGTGTGTGTGTGTGTGTGTGTGTGTGTGTGTGTGTGTGTGTATAGCATTGACACAACACTCAATGAATATGAGAGTATAGAGATAAAAAAAATATATCAAACCTTTTAGAGGAAAAAGTGGCATGGATCCCACCCAAAAGCATTAAGTGCTCACCTATGCACGGTACCTCCCGTGCATGTCTCACTAGATCGGGATCGCGCCTTGGTGCGAGGGTGCCGGTCACAACGTTTTGATCAAGCGGGTAATGCAAAGTTAGTATTAATACATGTACAACATATGCATTCATGTAATCCAGGTACGGCATATGCATTCATACATGATAACAATACAGTGAAGAAGAAACATTCAATTGTGATGAAAGCGAGGCATAGTGATGCTCATTATCGGCGTCACACTATAAGGCATGATCAATTTTATAGTAAGTTTGAAACCAAAAGCACAGCCACTCGACATGAACTTCGGTACCAAAAGCGCTATAATAGGAGAGGGGGTAATAAGAGCAGGATAGGAGAGACAACTACCGAGTCATAGCTACTAAGCATACTAATAAGTGTCTTCATTCAACTGGATTTAGTGACATGTTTCAAGCCATCAAAAGGAAGCTTTGTACAAACTAAACGTGTTCAAAGTAATACAACCTTATGGTGCCATCAACAAAAGGAAATCTTGGTTTCGATGCGGCAATTTCCTTCAAAAAAAGTTGAGCAAAACATGGCTAACAAAGAGCCCAACACATCATAGCCTGGATGTAAAATGTATCAAACAAGTGATGCACCTGTCTAAAAAGGGCGAGTTTTGTAGTGACCATCAAAAGCAGTAAATAACGATCACAGTAATCAAAACAGGGCAATTGTTATGGAACAATTCACATTGATTAAATACAAAATTCAAGACACGCAAAAAAATAAAACATGGAAGGGCAGAAGACTCACCTCAGGTACCCTACCTTTATCTCCGGACTTCAGGTACACAAAAAAACCTCACCGTAAGAGTTTACCCCCATTGCCGCAGCATGGTAAATTTCCATACCGCAACAACAAACATGCAGTTTCATAGCCAACAAGATTGACAATGCTGCTATGCATAATTGCTTTTGCTAATTTTGAATGTTCTATACTCATGATCAAAGCATGAATTGAATATTCAGATAGACTGCACCTCCCCTCCATAAATCACACACTCGAGTGTAAACATGACCATTATCTGAAACAGAGAAATAGGCAGGAGATGCATAAACCGCATGACACAGGGAATAAGTTATTTTTTAAATTCTCGGCAGAAAAGCACCACCGGCCACCCATCATCAATGAAGGAGCTAGTAAACTTAACAAACCCTAACCACACTACGAATCACAGCTGCCAAGGTATCATGCGTCATGAACTCAGCAACGAGCAGCCGCTCGCCACCCTCGTAGCATCATCCCATGAGGTTGGACAAGCGACCGCTCTGCAACAGCCCAACTGCCCTAGCCTCCTCCTGTGCATCCAAAAAAATGTCAGCAAAATTCAGTTCAGACTCCGCAGCAGAGGCCAGTCGAACGATGGTGCATACGAGGTGACGATCCACCCCCGTGAAGCAAAGCAAACCAAAGCAAGGGGCACGAACCACGAACTGGCGTGCGTCAGGCCAGGCGGAGCGGTCGAAGCGCTTGATGGCGACGGTGGTGCCAGAGCTGAAGAGGGTCCGTGGTAGACGGCATTAGGCTCCTTCTCGCAGTGCTCGAAGATGATGTGGTCCGTTGCGAAGCCATCGGTGGAGGCGTGTAGCTCGTCGAGGGTGTACTCCGCGAACACGGGCACGCCACTGCCGTCCTCCCCGATGACGCCATTCTCTGCACGGGCACAGAGACAAACAGGTGAGCATGTGTGTGCGTTGGGTCAGCAGCGGATCGAGCCCTCGACCAATCAGCAAAATGAGCCCAATGCAAGGTAAGCAAGGCATAGTCAATCCAGAGGATAATTGATTTCCATGGTCACGACAAAAGCAGGAAGGGGGGGAGGAGGAGCGAGCTGTGGTGGGCTAGCTGTACCTACTTGAGCTGGCCCCTCCTATTAGAGAGGAGAACGATATGGTAGTTAAGCGTCTTCCAGGCGCCATCCTTGAAAGAGAGCTCGACGATGTCCTTCCTAGTGCTGGCCACATCGCCAGCCAGGCAACACTGCTTCTCCGCATTCAGGAGTGACTCGATCGCCATGTCGACGCTGTTGCCCTCCTGCCTCAGCACAAACGACCATCGTCACACGTGCGGTAATAGCACATCAGATTGGAAAACGTAGGCACAGGGACGATAACATGTGAAGCAAAGCAGATCAGTGTGTTACCTCGTGTAAAGGTTGTCACACATACATGGATTTCTTTATACAATTGAAAGTATTGTTTTTTAGGTGCGGTGGCAATTCTCTGAAAAGATCCATTATACAAAAAGTTAGATATTTCAATGTGAGGTTACAAAAAGAAAAGGAATACAGTGGGTCCCTGTACACCTAAGTATCTACATACATCTAAATAAATTCATATACCTGGTGAAGTGTGTAAGGCTGAACCAAAATGTAGAACAAAGGAGCTGCTCGATCGAGTATTTTCCAAGCCCAATTCATACCAACAATGTTTAATGGGGTTTTGAAGTTCTGATATTGGTCACGGCCATCTTCAATCAGGAGAAGCACCAAAATTAATTAAAGAAAACTTGCACATGTATTAGTACTATGAGTAACTCTACTGATTGCTAGCAACCTCTGAGATTATCCTAACAAAATCTCACCCAAGCAATCCGTTTAACTCGCATAGAGAAGAACCGTCGTTTCAGTGATGCTACTGGCTGGAAACTAATACAGAATTCAGTTTGCATGCATTTACTAATCAACATCTCTACGTATCTACACGAAATGCGCCATGGAGAAAAGCAGCTAGCTACACATGTATAGATCAACCGAAGGTTCCAAAGAGTAAGCCAGTAGTATTAGCAGCTCCCAGTAAACAGCAGACTATTTGATTAGTAATATAGTTAATTAATCAGTGTCTGAGATTAGAGCTAATGTATTGTCCGTCTATAGTCTGTACAGGTAGGGAATGCAAGATGAAACATGTGCTTCACCAGATAATCTAATGTGTTAGCATAAAGTTAAATAAATGATAATTAAGCATTAATTTCTCACCCAGCTGTTAGAAGAGTTGGCACTCCAATTACGATCCAGAGATATACTACCTTCACTAATTATCAGGTGGCAAAGAATTCCAAGTGCATGAGCCCAGCTGTAGGATAATAGACAACAGGTAAAGATGATTAATTACAGTTTACAGCACAAGAAATCACAAGCAAAGACCTGGCGAATGATAAAACATTTAAATTCAGATTGAATAAGCATCTAAATTCAATTAAAGATGACATACACATCACAGTCATTTAGCCATTACTTAATCATGTATACTGACATACATATTCAGATCATGGTAAGTCAAAACTACATGGATCATCAGCCAACTCATCAAGGTCCTGAACCTTGGTACGAGTAACAAAAACAACATGCCATGTTTCAGTAAAAATACAACTGAGCAGAGTATCGATTCTCAGTATAACCCACTGAATTTAGTTTGTCAATTAGGATAGCTTCAATTACTTCAAAGAAGATCCCAGTGCCTAAGCTACAAAATTGAAAACAAAGAACCTGTCATACACCCATTTCACTATATACACAAAGAATTGTAGACTTATGCATGCATTAAGTAGGCAAAAGTATGAGCAGCAGAGGTCACTTGTGAGAGATTAAGCAGTAAAGGCGAAGCATATGAGGCATACAGCGAGTCTGTGTATAGCATTTGTTCAAGATTACTATCCTGTTTATTCCATTAGACAGGAATATCGTGATGTTTAACAGACCATAGGCATCAGTGCAACACATGAACGCTCCCTAGAAGTCAAAGCGCCTGATGGCTTTCAATCTGCATCTTAAAGTGGAGGAGCTGGGCGGGTGGATGAGAGGGGGAGAGGTGGTGAGGAGTGGAGGTACCAGATCGAAACATGGACGAAATGAAATGGAGACGGCGGCTCAGATCTACAGCTTGGCATCGCCGGAACCCACGGCCGGAAGCCGTGGCAGTCCCCCGCCACCGCATCCGCCGACGACGACGCCGCGGCGGCTGCCCAAACACGGGCCACCAAGCCGGCGGGAGGGCTGGCCCTGCGACGAGGAGGGATCCGGTGCTGGGAGCACGGGTCTGTGCCAAGGTCCTGGCCTCCTCATCGCCCCCGTTTTTTCGAGTGGCCACTGTCTGTGGTGGTGCGGTCATATGAGGATGGCGCTGCTGGGCGGGGGAGCAGCGGCGGTACCGGCGGCGGCGCCCCTTCGGGAGATGCAAGAGGAAATAAGACTACTGTATAGTGTGCCGCTACTGTATAGAAAAAGAGCAGTAATTTAACAACCATATGAAGGCACCGACCACAATTTTCTCAGGCTACTGTATAGTGTGCATTGTTCTGGAGGCCATGATCCACCCATAAAAGAATCTCTGACCTTTCATGCCCCAAAATCGAACAAAATATTATGCACAGAATTATCCAAATTGCTACTAAAAGCTACCAGCCAACAGCAAGAAGAACAAAAAGAATTTCTTAGTCTTCTATATACAAGTGTTTAAACAGAACTTCTACCTGGCTTTTTAAGGGAAAAAGGTAAAAGAAAGGATGTAAGCTAGTACTTTAGCACTAAAAAGCAATGTTGCATTAGAATTGTAGGAGTACAGAAAAAACAGAAGAACCATCTCAATAGCAGAATTTTTCTACCATCAGAATTCTCACTACCATCAAGATCAAAAGCTCAGCTCGACAAACTGATTTAACTAATGCTAAATAAATTGATGATTTTTTCGAAAATTTCTCCAAGTAAACAACACACCTCTTGCAACTGTAGTTGTCAACTTGAATGAAATACTCGCAGCAGTCGACATGCCCGTTATATTCCCGCTATGACCATTCACCCGCCAACCTGCTGCAAGCCCACGACTGCACGGTGCTACTCATTTGTTTGGGAGATTGCAGACGCATCTGCGAGTCAACCTGTGCTCCAAGTGCATGTCTGCAGCTCCATGTTGTTCCGTTATGTTGACAGCATGTGCTTAGCTCAAGAGAAGGAGACATTATCAAGGGTGAGTGAATCATCATTTAATTATCAATACGCCATGATAACATAAAAAGGACATCACATTGCTGGAGGCATGAAACCAAGTGCCAGATTATACAGTTTCATATACACTTTTATGGTTTCATTCATATATCATATGGTGTGTCGACAAATGGCACTACTGCATGAGATGCATTAATTTTGAATATGCAAGTCTAGGACAGTATGCTACAGTAATAATATATGTCACTACGAGCTAATTTCCAGCATATTCAGTTAGCAGTTGGATGAGTGCTATTTTTTATCATCTCAGATTCCTATCAACATGTCATCCATAGTCCCTATTCCTATTAGGATGTGATTCTTCAGATGGACGAGTTTTCTACCTGCGCATAATTGTAACCTGCCTTTATATTAGTATATATTCAATGATGGAATATGCCTTCAGATGCATTCAAACTTTACGTTGCTGACCTTCAAGTCGCAAATGAAAACAGAACGTACTGCTCGTTAACATAAAAATTAATTTGCGTATTTAGGAGATGTCCACAAATAACAAATTTTCTAATTAACTGGGAATAGAAGATTCAAGTAGGTAGGAGTAGATACGTATTAGAGTGATAAAGATTGGCATTAATGCATCTATATATGCTGCAAATCCTTTGTTTGAAGATCTGAAGTCAATTCAACATTAAAAGTGTGACCATCTAGACAACGTAATAACGCTGGGCAGTGTAATATACAATCTAGACATAGGTTTGATGTAATTCGAAAATCAGAAAGTCCAAACCTTGAGGAGCTGTAGGTCCATGGCCACCGGATCCGACGCGCCCGGACTCGCAGCCAACGGATCCGCGTGAGTGGATGAAGTACGGGTTGGGGTTGGCCTCCTGCTCGACGACGCGGGAGATGAGGGCCTGCGGGCGGTCCAGCAGCGCGTCCTCCTCATCCTCGGCCGTCTCCGTCTCCTCGTTTGCCTTGTCCTCCTCCGGCTTGGCGGCGGCGGCGGCGGCGACGACGTTGGCCGCCAGCTGCTTGGGCTCCATCAGCGCGGGCGGGCTCAAGCCACGAGGCAGCGGGGGTGGGCGGGCGCGCGGTCTAGGGTTAGGGTTGAGTGCGGGAGCTGCCTTTGGGGACGGGGAGGGGAAGGTGCTCCTCGGCGACTCGAGCAGAAGGGATCTCGTGGGGAGGAGGGAGGCTCATAGGAGCGGTGGCGGATGAGGCCGGAGAGAGCAACGAGGGAGGAGAGCGGCGGCGCGAGGGAAGGGAAGGAAGGGAGCGAGGGCTGCAGAAGAGATCGAGAGAGGGAAAGGAGGGGAACGGGTGGCGCGGGCGAGAGAGGGAATCGAGCTAGGTCTCTCCCACGGTAGCGGGCGCCTCTTCTATAGGCAGGAGGGAAATGACCAAAATACCCCCGGCGGGGCACCAAAATAACGCGCGGTGGCACGGCCGTGCGGGACATCGCTCATAGGGAAATATATCCGACGGCTGTAGACGATGTGGTAAATATTGGACGGCCAAGACGATCCAGCGGCGAGATCGGACGGACGAAAGCGCACCAGGCAAACGATCGGACGGCCGAGAAGCTCTAATCGCTGAGAGAGCTCAGGCATCCCTCCCTCTCATATTTCTGGATAAGCCAACACTAACTGAATCCAACACAACACATTGAAACACAACACAGAGAAGCCACATGCATCCCGGACCGATCTTCACCTAAATACACGCATGCATGCAGATGAAGAGGCAACACAACTTTTATTTCTGGTCATCCTAACACACGAACAAGCATCCATCCGCTGACGGAATTAGCTCAGCAGTCCCGCTCGCAGTAGCACTTGCGCTCGACGTGGTGCGTGTTGCACTGGCCGCGGGGGAAGTTCTCGGTGCGGCACACGCTGGCGCAGTTGGTGTCGCTGAAGCAGGCGCCCTTGAACTTGTGGCTCTGCGACTCGCACGTCCGGGCCTCCGCCGTCTTCGTCGTCCCCATCTCTGCAATGCAACCACAGTCCACAATAAGTAAGTGCCGGTGAGTACAGATGCTCACTATCCATGGACGGGAAGGACGTACCTGTGGCGACGAGTAGGAGCAGGAAGAGGAGGAGGATGGCGGGCGCGGCGGCCATGCGGGGAGGGGACGCCATCACTCTCTACTCTTGTTTGCTTGCTTGCTTCACCGGAGATGCTAGAGAACCGAGCGGGCTCTCCGCCGTGCTGCTAGCTGTGTTTAATTAGCTAAGCAAAGCGAAGGTGGAGTGAACGCAAGACGAAGGAGAGGTTTATATAGGCATTGCACAGATAGAGAGAGAGATATTAGTGGTGGTGGATGGGTGTTTAGGCTGCTTAACAAAGATCGGTGAGATTCTCAGTGGTGGTGGATGGGCATGTACAGTAGGTGATCCCACGTTGCCATGGCAGGTGTCCGAGAAGTTACTCGAATCATATGCGTGCCGACATGGGAGTGAGTGGAGGTGTCGGCAGCATGTAGATGCTCACGACACGAGCAACGAGGCGATGCTTTTGCATGCGCCAACTTTGGTTCTACTCCCTCTTTTTTACACTACACTACACTAGTGTCAAAAAAACGTCTTACATTATGGAATGGAGGGAGTAGCTTTGAATTGCCACACTTTGCCACATATTTTTGCCAATCTTGCCTATGATAGTTCATCAAATTGAGAGCCACAAATTGACAAGTCTAAGAGAATCTTGTCACACTTTTTGTGTGCATGCCATGTGAGACCCTAGTATGGCTTGTTTAAGGTGTGGCTTGAACCAAACACTCATCTAAGTTGATCAAACTTGCCTAACCTTAAATGTGACAATTTTTAGTAAAATTAATCACGAACCAAACAGACGGGGCCTATGTATACTTTACCTGCCTGCCTCCCCTTAGCCTAGTCACTTCACTTGCTGTGATCGAGAGGCACATAAAACAGACGGGGCCTATGTATATTCAATAGCGCTCCGAATCAGTAGTACCTTGTCCTTGTGGTCGACATCAAACCAACACACCGGGCTAAAATCGGCGACCCAAGGAAGGGGCTGTACGAGACTATAAGTTACTCCCATTCGTTTATAGTGCACCCGCGTTTTCAACATCCAATTTTGACCGTAAATATAATCAATAACACCGACTGCGGCGGAGAAAAAAATTATATTAATGAATTCATATCAAAAATACGAATTTCATGGTATAATTTTTGCTCCCATCGCAATCGATCTTGTTGGTTAAATTCACAATCAAAGTTGAATCTCGGAAAATGCGGGTGCACTACATTACGGAATGGAGGGAGTATAAGTGATGACTGTAAGGGCAATATCATACAGCCAATAGTTGGCGCTATTAATCATGCTCTAAGTAGTAAGAAAACAGTTAAAAATATTAATCCGTCGGCTAGCTGTAGCTAGGTTTCTAACGGTGGTTTTACTATTAGACAAACAAAAAAATTAAACAACAGGCCGGCCGGCGAGCGGCGTTTCTGCTCCGGTGCTCTCTTGGACCGAACGCGGAGGGGAGAAACACAAGTATGGCTGAGATGATCCAATACGTTTGGAAAGAAGGCAGGATGGTCTTTTTTGCGCGTGCGTAGAGCCCTGAACAAGCCCTGGACGAGCCCGTACGGCCCGGTTAGTTCGTACACTGATCGTATGCTGGTATTCGTATACGTGGATGTTTTGTTTTCGTGTGCAACATATCGCGGTCGTGGGGTAGCACATGTCGACTCAAAATGCAAAAAATGGCCCATCGTAT